ACATCATTATTGTTTAAATACTAATATCTTAACATTTAAGCATGGTTTTCCTTCTTTTTTGTGCGTATTAAAAGGTAAATTAATCCCAGACATTGCCAGACCTTTAAAAAGATGGATGAGATTATGGCCCTCTGCCATGATCTCATGAGGATCCAATTCAAAGCCTTGTTTTTCCTGAAACCTCATCATGTTTAGACAGTAGCTGTATAAAATAACTGATGTTTCTATCAGCAGTGAATGGAAACTCTCAGTGGGCGGAAGCCGGCATCTGCCATCCATGATGGCATCAAATCAAAGGTGCTGTATTTTTGAGTTAAATGAGGCATGTTGGGAAACAGTGTGTGACAATGTGCACATAAAATTGTTTGTCCGTTGTTGTTTTCTGCCAGCAATTTCTTTTGTTATTGGAAATTCCATAGCTTAAAGTCTGACAGTTTTCTTAAGAATTTTAGATGTTATGCAGGACAGCAGTGTGTATCTCATTCCCTCTGTGGTTATCCATAAATGTTCACATATTCTAAAAAGTAACTCTTTACTTGTATTTATTGTTGTTCAAGCAGGAATTAGTTATTATTTGACCAGATAAACACCCTAATGAGAGATCTCGATCTCATTAGGGTCTCAGACTTGATGGCTTGGGCACATCAAGTCTGCAGCACATCAAAAGAATTGCACCAGTCAAACATATCATAAAATATATTATAATTAACATATATAGATAAATAAAACTATAGAATTTAAGATCACCATCACCAAAAACATAGCCTGATAAACCAGACTAAATGTGAGATTAAATGTGTAATTTAGTCTCGAAGATTGTTGATGAGAACAACCCATTGTCTTTCAAACCGCTATCTGTGCCTATTGGCAAATGCTCTGACCAATGAACACAACTGACTGTGATGTAGTAAGCGCGACAGAAAGCAGGTGGGGGAGTGTAAACAAAATTTCCATCAGAGCCAGCAGTCCTTCTTACACGACTATGCCAAGAGAGGGCCGCTGCAGACGGGCTGTGGTTAGCCCCGGCCCCCGTTAGCCTCGGAGGTCCGCTGGTTGCCATGGTCCTCTTAATTTCAGAAACTGTTTTTTTAATTACACTTTAGATTGGTAAATGGACCATATAGTGACGCTTTAAAGTATGATATCCTTGCCTCAAATTATCTTAAAATGTAATTTTATTGAGCAACAGAAAAGAGAACTTTTAACTTTAAATGTAGTGCTCCATTTAAAGCTGCAGCAGTGCATGCTACTATTAAATAGTCTTTGCCATCTTCCTTGTTGTGCTTTCTCCAGCATCGTGCAGCTTTGTCGTCACGCCCTGAAAACCAGCTTTGCATCCAAAAATTCAAAACACATCTCTGCGTGATTGGCCCGCCACTTCTGGGGCCTGAGTCATTGATCGAGGCTAGACCAAACTCGCTGGCAAAAATGATTTTGGCCGCTGGAGGGTGGGGCTAGTTTACTAGGCTACCAAAAATGTATATCTGAACCCAGGGGAAACTGCCATCAGTTATGGGCCACATGACATAAGAAACATAATAAGTGGCATTGGACAGACGATTATTGTCTTCAGGGGATAGGGCTAAACTGATACCCCCAAATAGGCATCTGTATGTGGTGAATGTTTGTCCAAAATGACACACAGAAACAATGTATTCCTCTAACCTTGCATATTGAGGTTATAAAACCATGATGTATGACGAGAGGTCATATTTTGGTGCTTAGCCACGTCCAAATACCTTCATGTTAAAATATTATTTTGATTGCTTTCAATCCCCTATGACGAGAGTCAATACAAAGTTAATTTGAAGTCTGTCACTGAAAAACTTTGGGAGAAGGTTGTTAAGGTACGACATCAGTACGACATCAATCAATAAGAGAAAAAGACATCTTTGATCCAAAATAGCCAATAAATAAATAGGTTGTGCTCCCAGATACCTGTGAGCTGTGTCATCACATATCCAGGATTTAACTAACTCCTCAAGAAATGTAAGTGACACAGGTGTGACACCCTCTCGCTTCCTCTCGTTCAATGATAGTAATAGCACAATATCACCACCAGTAGCAAATCGAGCTGTAGCATTCTGTATACAGGGTTCAAATCACTATTTTATGTAAGATTAAAAACAGACATTGAAAGTTTCCTTATTTTGATGTCAGAAAAAAAGATCTCTGAAAAATTAACAAAGTAAAAGTGTAACTAAAAAAAAATCTAAGAAATAAAAGCCAAGGAAATTAATAGGATAAAGAACAGACATCTTTCCCTTTCCTTGAAGTATTATTTAAATAATCACATAATATTCCTTCTAAGAAGTTTTACCTCAACAGATCAAATAGCCTGAACAGTTAAACATAGAGAAGTTTGAATTACTCCAACAATAGAAAGCATAGTTTTAAACCAAAACTGTTGGGGAGAGAAGATGGTGCTGAAAGCTGAAAGGAAAATTATCACAAACAACCAGACTGCCCTCCAGTGTTCAAAACAAAAAACAACACTTTTGTTCTTAAACTCAACTTTCAGAACAACCCGCTCTAACAAAATCAGTGCACTGCACCTCTGGGCAAAGCAATATAATTGAAATGTAAGTGAACTCACAGGAACAAAACAACGGGAGATGGTCTCTGTCCCTATATAAACAAAGATTGGTGTGTAAATGTCACAGTTTTGAAGAAATTATGCAGGAAGCTCTTAGATACATTATTCATTAACTATAAACCCTTTTTATTCACTGATCACCCAGCATGTTAAGTGTTTCACCAGAGGCATTAACA